AATAGAGTGCCTTTCTCTTTCAATTGCCTCGTTTACTCTTCTCATATCCACACAGACTCGTATGTCTCCATCAGGTTTTGGTATTACCACCAGAAGTGAGACCCACTCTGTTGGACCACTAGGCACTTCCTCGATGATGTCTTCTGTAAGCAATTCATCTAATTTCTTGTCAACTTTGTCTCGTAAACCAAAGGGTAACCTTCTGACAGGTTGTGCAACAGGCTTAACATCTTTGTTCACATGCAACTTAAGCTGAAAATTTTTCGATTTACCCACTCCAGAAAAAACGTCAGCAAAGTTCTTAACAATGTCCACAGAAGTTCCTTCACTTGTGATTGAGCATGCTTGTGGTGAGTTTGGAGGTCCAACTCTTAACATGTTCAGCTTCTCAGCTGTATCCTTTCCCAGCAGAGCTTTAGCACGACCTTCAACAACAGTAAACTCATCCACACACTTTTCTCCAGACTTGTCACAATGAATTTCACTTTCAAAAGTTCCAACAATCTCGATTGGTTTGGTTTGGCCATAAGCGAACAGCTTTTTTTTCACACCTTTGGGATTTGCACTTAACTCCTTTCTGTTTAAGACTCTCCCACGTAGCACGATCCACAATGTTACATGTTGCCCCCGAGTCAATCAGGACATTGTTTTACTGCACACCCCCAACAGACAAATCAACAACACCACTCGAGCCATTACTACTCTTTGTATCCAACACAAATGCATAGTAACCTTCTTCTTCTTTCTCTTCTGAGACTTTATTAGCTCCTTATGAATGGCGCCTTTCACTAGGTTTCTTGGTTGACTTTGTCTTGCAACAAGCTGCAAAGTGACCACCTTTACCACATTTATTAGAAGTCTTGTCTAATGCTGGACAGCTCTTCTCCTGTGCAAGATGACCAGTTCCACCACACCGGTAGCACTTCCTTTCTTTTCTAGGTTTCTGTTTTTTGTCCTCTTTTTCTTTGCTTGTCGATCATTCAGAGACAGTTTGTTCACCTGCTCAGGTCTTTCCTTAGACTGCATTTGAGTGTTAGCTTCATGAACTCTTGCAGTATCTCGCAGCATGGTCAAGGTTGCTTCACTTGATTTCTTGGGAAATTTTCGACAGATATAGCCTTCTGGCGCAGACAGTACACAAATTGATCGATAGTTTCCCCCTCCATTTGTTGCATTTGGCGGAAAACATGTCGCTCAAATGGAATATTAACTATCGGTGTAAAATAGTTATCCAGGACTGCAACGCAATCGTTAAATGAAATATCTTGATCTTCATACACCCAAGTGTAATAAATTTCTTGTAACTCAATACCTCCTGAATGTAACAGCAAAGCTACATTCTGCCCTTCATTGGCTACCCCTTTCGAGGCCACATACAGGTTAAAAGCACGTTTCCATCATTTCCATTGAATAGACAACGAATTTGGCTCTTTTTTTTTCCTCACCATTTTCACTGCATTACCACAGTAGGGTAGGACTAGAACGGAACATATGTAATCCATGCAAGTGGTCCACCCATTAAATCCCACCCATCTCACCCCAGGGGAGGACATCCATCACACACAGCAATCTCATGCATAGGAAATTAACATCTCCTACCTCTAACCCTGTAGGAGACGGGACCTCCATTTATTCGTCCCTATCTGAGAAGACTAGAATATCTAACCATTACTTGATGTTATAGAAAGTTAGTATATTCTTCTCAATCATTTTAAGACCTTGAGTGTTGGTCCGGCCGGGACTTGAACCCTCGACCTCCCGCACAACAGTCCAGTGCTCTATCCATTGAGCTAACCAGGAGGCAGTTAAAGTTGGGGTCAAAGCAAGGAAGGCCACAGACTTCCAGGATCTGTTTTGCACTTGCCCTGCCTGAGTTGGTGGACGATGGTGCACTTGAAGTGCTCTCTTGTTCTTCGGGTGTTCCACTTGTGGGCATGATTTCCTTCTCTATAAAGTTATGTCACAAATTCAATCTTTGAACACTTGGAAAATTATCCTTGTGGCCAAATGTAATAATGGCCTGTTAATACCCAGATAAATGCAGATAAACTCAACGGTTTCTTTAATCTACACCAGCAAGCATGCCATGTTAAAATACCATGATTCGTAGCGCACAGATAACTCTACATGACAGTAACAAAATGTTTAAACACTACACTAATGTTGATGCCACATGACATGAAGAGTTAAAAAATTCATGTTTCATTCACACCAAATGAGGATGATTGTAAACAAATCCTCCTAAGTTATCTACCAGTCTCTGCTTCTTAAACAGCACAATTGGACTTTACACATTTACTGTTCATTTTCTTGTTACATCTTGCTCTCATTCTGGCTGTGTTATAACGAACCACAGTTTCTGCCTCATGAGAAAGGATGAATTATGACATCAGTACAATATGATTATTATTTGATGATGACATTTCTGGGCAAATTATATCATAAAATATTTCATTTCACAATACCTACACACCAATGTTTTACCTATGGATTCCCACTCGTAGTACTTTCAGTCATGCCTCACTGATGCACTTTCTCTGTTGCACCAGTTGATAAGGACATAAAAATTGGTGCCAAAACATTGTGATTACTTCTTGCACTACACCAAGACCTCTCCCCTCCTTAATCTCCCCATGCTCATTCACTATAAGTAGATTTAGTTGGCAACTGCAGGAAGGAATGTCCAAAACTTCAAATTCTTCTATCAAGTCTCACTCACATCTGTTGTTTGGTCTGGTCACTCCATGGGGACAGGAGATAGCGCTTTGCATGAAGATGCCTGCAACAAAAACAATGCAGCTTATTCTTGCGTTAAAATGTTCAGACAACGGCGACAACAGACCACAAAATACCTGAGTTTATTTCATATAAATTGGAAGGGTCTTTTAAAAGTTAAAAAGTCAATCCCCATTTTTCTTTTACAGTATTGAAAACATCAGTGGCTCAAAGTTTTCCATCTCAATCGACTCATCCAAAAAAAATAACTTTTGCACGTTTAGCAAGCCTATGTTTCAGGAAAGAGCCATGTTAATTATTTAAAAGACAGGGATTTGAAAAGGGTTGGAAAAAACTAAACAGCTTATTTATTGTAGAATTTTAAATAGAATTCAAAGAAAAGGTTTATCCCAATATAGGTATATTGCTGCATATCCTATATAAAGACATTTATAAAACCGTTTATAAAACCATTTTTTGTTAAGATACATCACACACTTCTTTTCTCAATGGTGGATTATTTATTTGGTAAAGAGTCCTTGTTGTTACAAGGTTACAAGACACTAGCCATATCAAGATGATGTACTTTTTAACAACGACGTTTTCCAAGTTGGACCCTTGTCAGTTGAAAAATGGCAAATGACAATACCAAATAAGATCATTAAGACGTACCATGAGGTTGCTCCAAGGAGCCTTTTTTTTTTTTTGTCATATTTTTTGGGATGGCTTTTTTGTGTGAAAATTCTAACTATGCAAGGATTCCAGAGAGTGAAGGAACTATTTTATCACAATCAAATTTGATCACTGCTGTTACAACATTTATCCAAAATATAATACCAAAATAAATTGTTACAATGAATATCCCTCTCCTTGTAAAGGCAACTAAATTGCAAATTTTAAAACCTGAAACTGCCATGCCAGTCTGAACTTTCTTTCATCTTTCCACCAAAAGTTGGTAAGAGGAAAGCAATTTTAAGGCCAAGGCAGTTCTCCTTTAATGGACATTTTATTTCTACTACAACTGTAGTTTTACAGTACTGGCCTGTTGTTTTACCATCTAAACATGCTCCTACCCTGGAATAGTTGCTAGTAATGAGGAGAATTGGTTAATCAAGCTCAAATAAACATATGTAAATAACTATTGTAATATTTTTACCCAGAGTGAAGGGGTTATTGTCAGAAATTTAAATTTGTGGGTTCTTCAGTTTGGCAGCCATTACCTATATTTTACACATTTGGCAGCTGACCTTCCACGTTTTTAGGTTTTATAGATTTTACTGGAATTGACATTTTTTGTCAGGGAATTACATGTGCCTTATGAGCTATTTCATTATTGATTTGGCAGCATGGAGTTTAGTCTGAATTTTTGCATGCAGTTAACTGTTATCACTTACAGAAATATCTTAATAGGTTTGATTGGTGCATCCAGAAACTTCAAGGAATTTTTTTCTGTAAAGTAAGAGCATTTTACTGTTTAAGTCAGCAAATTATGTAGATTGGAAGGTATAATCTTGACAGTTCTTGTTGTAGCACTACAGTGATAAGCATCTCAAAATAATGTCACAGTTGCATCCACCATTGCATGATTTAAATCAAAACTTCCTTGTAGAAATATCTCAATAGATGCGATCTTCACATCATGAAAGCTTTGAGGATTTTTAAGGGAGCATTTCACTGTTTGAATCAGTGACTTAAGCTGAAGCGAGGAAGCTGCAAAATAGAATACCTCGGGTGGCAGGTTTTCTGTTTTGCATGTGAGACAAATATTCAGCAACACTTCCAGCATCATTTTACAACTTCTAGTTCTCTTTAGTGCCATAAAAATTGTACTCTACTAGAATTGTACTTTACTACAACATATAGCTAGTAGCTATATGTTGTCTTTTACTGTCTATTTTTTTAATACTGTTTGGTTGTCAATTTATCTGACTTTTCAGTAAAAGTTGTCTTAAAAACCTCATCTTTTGTTTGTGGTTAATATTCAACAGATCATTTGAGTGTATTTATTGGAAGGAGATGGCAAAGGGTTAAAGTGCTCACTAGTTAACTGAGTAATTAAGCCATACCATGAGGAAGCCTAAGGAGCCTTTGATTTTAAAAGGAAGTAATTGAAACAACTATTTACTCTGTTTGCATTTGTCATAGTTGCTAGTTGCCCCCATACAGGAGTTTGATACCCCTGATGAAATGTGTGTAGGCTTCTTAAGCAATGTAGTAGTTGTTAATGAGGAATTAAATCAGTAAACATACAAAGTGCTCACTCTTGATCCTTTCCATTCTTTCAGAGAGTGCAATGGTATTTATCCGTGAACCAGACAATCCCACCCATGTTCCAGTTGGACATAATGCTTCCTTGGAGTGGGATTACTCTATTGATGACAGAAAGACTGAGCTAGGATCTATTATTTGGAGTATTTTTGACACAGTGCAAAACAGAGAATATCCAATAATTGCAGAAGGGCCAGATGGTAAAAGACAGTTTGGTACTTCTTTTCCACAAGCTCTAAGAGGAAGAGTCAACATTAAGGGTCGTGCCACTCTCATCATTTCTAATGTCACAGTGAATGATGCAGCACCTTTTCAATGTGCACTCCGACCAAAGTCTGGACTTGATCAAAAAAGTCTTGTCAGGCTGGTTGTAACAGGTTTGTTTTCAAGTTCATGTCAGAGTTTACACCTAACATTTAACAAGGGTTAGCTTTTGTAAACATAAACATAAACATAAATTTATATACTTGGCTATTTGTGTGCAATAGTAGAAACAATTCTAATTTTTTTTAAACCTTGCCTCAAAAATTTCACTTTGTCCTCTTAAGTAACTTTATGTTTTCTGACTAAATATATTCAGGGCAATCCTCCACTCTTTGCAGTCATTCACTTTCATACAAGTCACAAGTGAACCTAAGCATCGAAGTTTGAATAGTGGGCTTAGAATGGCAATTGCCAACAATTTGAATATCATGTGGGAAAGGTGAATGAATTGAAATGGTGATGGGAAAAATATTTGAATTAACGTTGATGGTATTGTTAGTAGAACAGAGAAAAAAAGACAATAGTGGCCAACTTTATATGCCACACTTAGCAGTAAAGCGATACAAGTAAAGAGGTAATATTTTTTGCCACTTTGACAGACTTACATCACATCAATGTGAGAAATATTTAATATACATTGTTGCATTCATGGTGCTTTACTTGTGGAGAAAGAAGCAAAAACTCTATGGCATTACCAAGAAATGAGACTAACTTTAAGTGAGGGGCCAAGACATTTGTTGACAAAAAGTACTCCTAATTTGCTAAGCTATTGTTCCCCATGGTTACGAGAAACTTTATTAATTCAGAAGCTATTTCCACATCAACTGACTCTTCTTTATTGAAAAAAAACTGTTATACTTTCATGCAATGGCCCATCATCATTGCACTTTTCTCAAGGGCAATCTGGTTTGAGTGCTGTATGCAAGCTTTTACACAGCTGTAAGTAAACGGTATGGCATGCCTTGCCAGCTGAGGGACAGCCAGAGATTAATTGAAACAAAGACCAGTATCTCTAACATTTGATTCCATTGCATTATTGGTAAATATCACATAATGGCTTACTTGCTCTTGGAGAGGAAGGCAATGATTCTAGTAAGTGCAGCTTAGAATTGGTTGTAGCGAAAATGAAGACCCCAGAGGGCTAGGACCTAAGACCTAGGATGAGAAAACGAAGACACCCGTAATGTGCCAACTTTGAAAACAGTGTGCTCTCTAGCTCTCTTGATTTGTCTGAAATTTGCCAGTTGTAAAGATTGAAGCTTGCATAACATCGTCATTTGCCTCCCCTTAATTCTACTAGACCATATGAATTACTTTTGAATAAATTTGTGATGTGTTCTCCGTGATCTGTTCGCAGTGGTGTTTGTGTGTGGTGTTTGCTTTTAAATTTTCAGGATTTATCCTTAAAGCTCTGTTTAAACTGTTTTGGAGCTTGTATGGAACAAAATTGCTGCAGGTATAGATTGTGTTTGAGGTTATTGAATTCCATATAAATGAACAAGGCTCTGTAATTAAAATGGAAACCTTTTGGAGCTTTCCTTTGCAAGCTGTTACTTCAACATGACTTTGAATTAAAGCCAACTAAATGCAAGATGGGGTCTTTTTAAGGTTCACTCTATCTGTGAGCATGGAATTTTGAACAAGAATAGTCTATCTTATTACCAGAATTCAAATAATCGAATATGGGCCATAATTAATGATGTGATCTATCAAGCTTTACTTTAATCTCCACCATGTTACCACCAGTTGCAAAGGGATTTGAGACCTCTTACCAATACAAGAGGTAATTGTTCACCATGCGATCCAATATAATGTATCCCCCCATTCCCCCCTTTGCAATGTTGGTAGTTATGGTTGTAAGCAGTATCATAAATTACTTCTTGGTCTTCTGATGAAGTTACAGAATGCACTTTTTGCTTTAGGTGTCTCTTTTCTTCCAGTTCTCATTTCACTTTGGTTCAGTTGGGAAAAGTCCTACTATAGTACCACACTGAAAAAAACTGATGAAGGCTATTTAAGAGTCAGCAAGGAAACAAGAATTCAACAGCAGTTTTGTCATTGCCACAAATGCTTGAAATCACAGATCAAAAATCAAGCAATAAAGTAACATAGTTGTTTAACATTTTTTTCTTGTCTTTGCCAGTGCCACCCAAAGCAACTATAGTGAAACCCAGAGTGAAATATGGTAATGTAGGTGACCCAATCACATTTACCTGCAACACAAGTGGTTTTCCAACTCCAAACATCACATGGTACAGAGGCAACAAAATCATCACTGGAAGTAGTTACAGCACAAATTCTGTAACTCCTGAGTCCTCGCAGCTGACCATCAAATGGGTATCACATGATGCTCAGGATTATTATAATTGCCAAGCCTCTTCTAATGGAATGGAGCCAGCAAATGCTAAATGCTTTCTTGGAGTCATTGAAGGTAACCTCTACATGTCATTTACTAGCCTGCATAATTTTGGCTGGTAAGTGCTCAGTATTATCTTGATGAAAATTAAAGCTGCCATCTTTCCTTTTTATGGCAGCAAAAGGCTTGGAAGAGAACGAAATTTGTTTAAAGGGGTTGAGCAATTCCTAAAGTGAAATAACAATGTTGCTTGGACAATTTTTTTTCTTTAGAGCCAAGTTAGTGTGCAAGGTTTAGGTTGTTCCAGTGAAAATGTTACTTTTGACTTTTAAAAAGGACATAAAAGAGTCGAGGATTTTTGCTATTTACTATATGGACAAATTATGATTTATACCTTTACTTTCTGAACACAATGTCAATAGATGTCTATCCAAGGCCTTGAGTGGGTTGTTGGTTGCATTTCACACTGGCAAAATGTTGATTCCAGTTAGGAATAATGGCCAGCCATCTCAGCAATATTTATCGGTGGCTTCAACTTAAAGGGAGCTGCGAGTAGACAATTTAAGAAAATTGAAAATTCCTGTAAAATATATGCTCAAAGTTTCCATTGCCAGGAGTACTTGAACTTTTTGATAAAATAAACAAGATGCTAGGGTAGCTTTCACACTGGCCATTGAAGCTGGGGTGGGTTGGAGTGGGTGGGATCTGAATTTTCCTAATTGGTTGTTTGTTTGTTTCCCTCAAGTATGCAAGAGTAGGAGTTTTAGAACTGTAAACTTGATAAGGGTAAGGGTGTATTCGATTGCTTTGAAAATGTGTGGGTCGTTCTCAACTAATACAACAGTTTTATTGCTGATATCTACTATAAATGTGTAGTACAACATTAAATTTGAATATCTAATTACAAACTTTACATTTCTGCTACAGTAACTGTTTTCTCCAATGATGACTTGTTTCAAAGTGCTGCTATGACTTTGTTTAGTTTTGTCAAAAGAACAACAAAGGGTTAGATTACACTGTACTTAGTGTCCTTCGACCTGTGTCTTTTTCCATTTTCTAAGTAATAACTATTATTTTTGTGCCACGCTAAGCAATGTCAACATAGGAAAGTGGAGTTATTGTTTACATTGTACATGAATTGTTCAACATAAACTGACAGCTTAAAACATTAAAAACAAACTCTAACTTAGTGTTTCTTCGGAACAATAACTTGTTTCAAATTGATGCCGTCACTGTGTAAAGTTTGATTAGGACATAGTCACTTTTTTTGCAATGACAACTTGTTTCAAAGTGTCGCTGTGGTTGTGCTGTATTGGAGATACCTGGACCCACAGGAGAG